GGCTTCCTCCAGTGAAAAAGTGCATCTCCTGTTGTCTCTCGCATCAAAATCCAGCCACATATGTGTTTAGAGCTGTTTAAACGCTGCTTGATCTGTGCAGATTTCTCTCCTGATTCAGACCAGAACACTTTTTCACTGGAGGAAGAGTTATTATAGATAGAGGGCTTGTATTTTAGCATCGGAAGCAAGAGTTTGAAGTTTGAAGAGTGCTGTGGATTACTTGTGGATTATTGTGATGTTTTTATCAGCTGTTTGGACTCTCATTCTGACGGCACCCATTCACTGCAGAGCATCCATTGCTGAGACACTGATGCAATGCTACATTTCTCCAAAAGAAACAAACTCATCTACCTCTCTGATGGCCTGAGGGTGAGCACATTTTCAGCACATTTTCATTTTTGGGTGAACTATTCCTTTAACAGACCTTTGCTGGTGCCGTCAGGTCCTCTCAGTACCGTACACTCATCAATGCTCCCAAACAGCTCAAACATCTTCCTCACGTCCTCATCAGACTGTTGCTTGCCCAACATCCCCACAAACAGCTTTCTGTCCTCTAAAAAGAGTGGAAAAGGGAGAAATGGTCATGATCTGTTATTCAGCATCATTTATCTGGTTTTGTGAAGTGTGTCAGCAATAAGTTAACAGTGCTGCAGTACCGTCAGTCTCCAGCAGAGGGTCAGAATGAGCTGACTGTAATATGAACTCTGTGTGTGTGATTTTACTTTTGAGGTCCAAATGTCCTGACTAATACAAGGCAGTTGTAACATGCCTCTGATGTTATCAGGTCTCTATTCCTGGTATTTATTCACAGCACTAATGCATCTCTTCCACACTGCTCTCACTGTATGGCAGGCCGTTCTAACATCTATTGCTTGAAATGTATTGGTATAAAACACTGAAACAGAAATCTCATCTCTGTCATTTGCTGTATTTCTATTAAACATTAACCCTACTAGAAATATTACGAGTGCCTACTAAATAAAATTAACGTTTTTAAAATTAAATGTACTTGTATTTATATTTTCTAGTAAAATAAATTAATGTTTACTGTTGAAAACCCAATGGACACTGTTAAATTCTGTCATTAAACTGCATTACAAACAGGAGACTGTAATAAATCTGCAGTTAATCTTAACGACCAGACCACGAGTGTGATATGAATCATTGTATTTTAGTGTATTTGAAGCTGACTGACACGACGTAACAATATTTGCCGTGTGTTTCAGTGCATCGCGATGAAGGCTACTCTGAATTTGATTTTGGCTTCAACATTTATGGGTTTCTTTTATGGAGGTATGCCACTGTTTGTTTTGTCTTTCCGTTTTTTAGGTTGTTTATTGTGTCTTTTTACAGTATAATTAGCATTAATAACTGTCGTTCAGTACTAAGCCACTATATATTTCATATGTATTTGGTTGAGTAATCATTTTTGCTATTTGCTATACTTGCTATTCAAATGCATGTATATGTATAGCTGTATATCTGTTTACTATACAGTATGTTTACCTTGTTGTTTGCAATAAATTCCCAGTAACACTTTATTTTACAGTGTTATACATGTATTTACTATAGTAATAGCAGTAAATTGTGCAAAATGACAAACAACCAACCCTACATCAAACTAAGTCCTAACCTTAAACGGATAGTTCACCCAAAAATGAAAATTACCCCATGCTGACTTTCTTCTTTCAGACGAACACAATCAGAGTTATATTGAAAAATGTCCTGGCTCTTCTAAGCTTTATAATGGCAGTGAATGGGGGAGAAATGAGGAAACAAGAAAAAACGCTTTGGTGGCCACTGGGCCTTAGCGGAAGCTAGAGATTACAGTTATGGGGTTACGGTTTATAAAGTTTTAAATATGGATATTTTTCTTACACAAACGCATCTCTTCGCTTCAGGAGGCCTTTATTCACCCCCCGGAGCCGTGTGAGGCACTTTTTATGATGGATTTATACACTTTATTTTGCTTCAAAATCTCAACACCCATTCACCGCCATTATAAAGCTTGGAAGAGCCAGGACATTTTTAAATAAACCTCAGATTGTATTCGTCTGAAAGAAGAAAGCCATTTTACACCTAGGATGACTTTAGGGTGAGTAAATCATGGGGTAATTTTCTTTTGTGGTTGAACTATCACTTTAAATCTATAGTAAGTACACTCTTAAAAATAAAGGATCCAAAATGACGTTTATCGCAGTGATGCTGTAAAAGACCTGTTTTTGGTTCCTCAAAGAACATTCAGTGAACGGTTCTTAAAAGAACCATTTCATTCTTAATGTGAAGAACATTTTAATAATCTAAAGAACCTTTTTTCCACTATAAAGAACATTTTGTGCGAAGGAAAGTTTCCGTAGAAACATCAATGCCAATACAGCACAATATAATATTACTCACTACTTATTACACTGTAACAATGACACCTTAAAATACAATGTAACCAAATTTCCTTCACGGATCATGAACATGTCTGTCTCTTCTATGGGTTTTGTTTCAGCAACTTTCTGCCAGAATATTCCGTCTGGTTTTACATTAATAAACCGACCGTACACATTCCCCGGTAACGCCAGCAGCTGTGATCACGCAGAATGGAGAAAGATACCCCCCACAGACGCCACTATCGCCACATACAAAAACCATAAGTGCATGACCGAAAACGGCTTTGAGGAGGAATTCACATGTAAAGACCACCATCTGCTTCTCAAATCAGCAAAATACACTGACCAGGGGCTCTATGAGTTCATCTGTAATGGGGTTAAAACTTCAGTTCAGCTGGATGTTTTATGTAAGTCTTTACTGTATCGGATTTTTTTGTGGAAACAATGAAACATGAATTAATTCATTTTTAATAGAAAGTTTAAAAAACAAAAGCAAAAGTCTTTAGCAAAGCTTTGATCAATTTAATGCATCCTTGCTGAGTAAAAGTATTACTTCAGTTTTCTTAAGGATAATATATAAAATATAAAGCTAAAAATGCTGTTTTCATCATTGATAATAATCAGAAATGTTTCTCGAGCAGCAGATCAGCATATTATACTGATTTCTGAAGATCATGTGACACTGAAGACTGGAGGAATGATGCTGAAAATACAGCTGCACATCACAGAAATACATTACAGCTTAACAGAGATTCACATAGAAAACAGCTGTTTTAAATTGTAATAATATTTCACAATATTACTGTTTTTACGGTATTTGTGATCAAATAAGTACAGCCTCGGTGAGACCTTTTATAGTGCATGATCATTGATTTGATTCAAATTATTTTCCCTATAGATGCTCTAAATGTGAGTGTAGAAGAGACGGACAGCATCAGCTTGAACTGCTATGCGCACAATGCCAAGGATGTGACGTGGCTGCATAACAATAAAAGAGTTTTGCACTACAAGATGGACGGATCCGTGAATCCTGGCAAAGGTTACGAGGGAAAAGCATCGCTGGAGGAGAACGGCTTCAAAACCGGCGATTTCTCTTTGACCATCCCTAATGTTAGCAAGGCAGATGCTGGACTATACCGCTGTTTTGTGGATGATGAAACTGCTAAAGGAAACCCACACGCCTATCAGCTGCATGCAAACAGTAAGACTGGGAAAATCGAGTACATTGTAGGGTTAAATATTGCATGTCGTTTTATTTTGCCAACTTTGGCATAATAACAATCTGGTGCATTTTGCGCAAGCAGTTCACAGTCTCTAAGTCCAGTTCTGTTGTTTGATTCACACAGAGAAACGCTCCAGTCCAGGAGACCAAACACACCCCAACTGCAATGAAGCAACTCTGGTTATTTATAAGACATCCACCATAGTTTTGGGGCTCATCTTGGGGCTCATCGTTGTCAGTGCGATATACTGTATCACCATGAAACTACACAATCGTCAATCCACACCTGTTACAGCCGCGCTACAGAAGAGTGAGGAGAACACCACTGAAAATGAGTGTATGCTGATGTCTGATATCTGCACAACTTCACCCGCCAATGAACGTCAGCCTGTTCAGGAGAGCGACTCCACAGAAAATAAGCATTCCAACACCAAGCCTATTTTTTAATCTGGCATAACGAGGCTTGTGAAGAAAATACAGACATCTAGGATCACAATGCAAGCGGGAGAAGCCTCATGTTACGTTTGTCACGATCGCAGATGACAACATCCCGGATCAACACTGTTCATGTACCGCAGGGTACTGTAGGATATCAGACCGAATCAGACAATCTAAGATTTGGTCAAACATGGTTGAAACATTAGGAGCACAAAAATTCCACAGAGG